ATTATATTCTCTACTTGAATAATTTCCAGTAATTCTGGTCGTATTTTATTGTATACAATTAAGGACAAAAGATGAGTGGTGAGGAAAGACTTGTTACTGAAGTTCCCAGTAGTTTAAAACAATTAGCACGTTTAGTGGTACGTGGATTTTATACAATAGAAGATGCATTAATAGTTGATATGTTAGTTAGAAATCCATGTAAGTGCACAAATTATAATGTTATATTCTATAAAATACATGTAAATTTACATCAGCGTGTCTTTTAAGGTATGAAAGAGGATGATATCTGTGAACTCTTGAAATTTGAACGCAAGATGTTAAGAGCTAGAATATCTATATTACGCAACGACAAATTTATACAAGTTAGATTAAAAATGGAAACAGGATCAGATGGAAAAGCACAAAAAGTTAACTATTATTTTATTAATTACAAGGTAATGTACTGGAGCACATGAGTCCTCTATTCCTTTTGTTAAGTAAATTGTGCTGTAGTTCTGATATTTTAGACGTTTGTAAATGTGGTAAAATATAAATTAGATTTAATGAGGAAAAGAATGGAAACTGAGGAAAGGGATGCTACTAGCAGAGCTAGTTTTAAATGTACAAACTGTCTGAAAACTTTTACTGATCTTGAGGTATGTAAAATACGTGTGTAAACTGTTCTGCATGTGTGTAAAGAACAAAGTTTCTCAAATTTAGCTTTTATTGCATATTCATATATGTAAAAGAGACAAACTGTAAAGAATAATTTGAGAAATACTGTTTCCTTATGTTACAATCTTACTGACAATAAAGCATTTATAATGAAGTGTAAATAAATAAAAAAATATAATGAATGATACATAATATAATATATATAGGCAGATCAATTATTTGATATGACTACTGGTGAATTTAGATGTACGTATTGTCGCGAAGTAGTGGAAGAAGATCAATCAGCCCTACCTAAAAAAGATTCACGACTGTTGTTAGCCAAGTTTAATGAACAATTAGAACCTCTCTATATTTTATTAAGGGAGGTGGAAGGTATCAAATTAGCACCTGAAATATTAGAACCAGAACCAGTTGATATAAATACCATCAAGGGGTATGAACTTCTTTTAATCAAATTTTCGACAATGCAAGAAGAATTGATACATGTTATTTATATTCTTTGCATTCAGTATTGACACAAGGAAACCAAGCAGCTTACGAGCGCCTGGTGAACAATGGTCTGGCGAGGCTACAAGAGCATCAGGTTTCATGGTAGAAGATACTCGAGTGGATGTTACAATCGGTGATGAGTCTGTCGACGAGAATGCGGCAAATAGAAGGAAGGAAAGACCAATTTGGATGATGGAAAGTACTGTCATCAATTCGGATTCGCAGGTATATTTTTATTTGTATTCAGAATCCAATATTAAAATGTTGATATTTACTAATAACGTTACATGTTAGCCTGATGGAGTTAATACCCAAGAGAACATTTTGGACAAGGCTGCAGCTACTGCCACTAATACAACGTCGACGAATAACAAACAGGGCGAAGACATAATGTCTGTACTGTTGGCCCACGAGAAAAAGGGTGGAACGAATTCGACTGCTATAAAATCTGTGCTGCCTCAAGAATCTAGCGATAGTAGCGATAACGAAGAAGTTGCTGAAATGCAAACTATTGATACAGGTATGATATCCTAAATACACATCACGGAGTGGATACTTTTAAAAACGATGCATGGTTTTCGTTTAGGAGAAGTAGAAACTATGGATTCCGACGAAGAAGATCTCGTGCCAACAGTTTCTGTCGCGGGAAAATCTGTCGCGATCGCGGATGTAAATGACGCATTAATAGCGGAAATGACTCCCGTGGAGAAAGAAGCGTATATTCAAGCATATCAGGAATACTACTCCCACATGTATGATTAATCGGCTATCAGCGCTGTTAAATATTTTATGAATGTTTCGTAAGACTGAGTGGTTATTGAAATTCTTGTAATATTTTGTATAGTCACGAAATAAATCATTTTTGGGTTTGATAAGAACTTGTTTCTTTTGTGTTTGCGTCAATAGTTTGGATAGAATATAACATAAATGAATAATGAAATAAAAAGTTAACGTTTCGTAACCCTTATATTTCTCTTCTAATATACAGATATAACTCGACAATGTTACTGGTTTGTAGTAAAGAAACATATTACAGACACCTTACGAATCACAATAAATCATAAAATCAGTAGCATACATGTCACTTCTGGTAAGGCGGGAAAATAGTAAATTTGGCCAAATATAAATTATGCATTAAGCTTGCTCTTTTTTTTCGCCTTCACGCTAATTTCTAACCGACCACCACCACCGGATAGAAATTATAAGCCGATGAGACGTTTTTCGTGTAATACTTTTCGCTTTTTTTGTACGTTTTTTGTTTACACGTTCCTTTATTTTATTTATATTCTGTTCCATACGCATATGGATATTATTTCCTTTTATCTTCTGTACCTTTTTTTTTATAATCTCTAGACACGACTCGCATTAAAAGAATCCTAGAATCCTACATATCATCGCGCTACACTCATTAATTGCTGATTTAACGTAATTCTATAGCATTCTGGTTGAAAGTTGCTATAATTTGAATCCAAGATCCTTTTAACGCAAGTCTCCTTGTGAAATGCTTTTTTATTCTGGCTCGTTCAAGCGCAAACGAGCAAAGTCTTCAAACACAATATTGTCATCGTCATCGTTCGCATAAGTGTTTTCATAACGTGTCCTGTCGACGCTCTTGTTCTTTTTCAGGGTAGCTTTTTCTTTCTCTGCGGCCCCTGCAATACAAAGCCATCATTTTTAATCAGCAATACAATAAAAGCTTCAAAACAAATTCTTTAATTGTGGTTAAAATTTATTTACCAGGAGCTGGATGCATGAGCTTGAACGGAACATCTGTGATCAATTCGCCTCCGAGAGTTCCACAATTTAATTTCACTCGAACAGAATAAGAGATCACAATACCCATAGCCTCGCCAGGAACTTTGCCATCAGCTACCATTGTTGAAGATGCAAGGTTCACATCATCATCCTGAATATCGGATAAAGAAGCCCATATAAGAATGTGTATTCAACAGGAGAAAGACATGTTTCTTGATCACACAATATCTTGTTTGTACCTTCAAATGGCCATCAAGAGCAATTCCGCGACGATCCTTGTTGCTGCTAGCCAATGGTACAAGATAAAATTGTTTCGTGAAGGACGCGCCGGGCGTGATCGGGCAACCTTCACGTGTTTCCAAACTAGCCACGTTGCGGGAGAATTGAGTATTTACCATCGTTACTTCACAATGTTGCACTACAAAGAGCTGACACATACTGGTATTAAAATGAAATGCTTAATTCTATTAATGTAAATTGTATCATTTCAATACCTTGATGTTTTTGACAGCCTTCCTAGAATTGTTAGTAACGATAACATTTGCGGCTACTTTTTCCCCGTGGTAATAAATTTCCTTGTCGAGCGTAACTTCTAGATTCAATTTACCTTGGGAGAAAGTAAAACCTTTGGAAACCAATGAGCTAGGTAACTTTCTTCCTCTCGTCGGTGGGGCATATTGCAATTTCTTTATAGCTAACGCCACAGATGATCTTTTGTGTCCCTGAAAATGTACATATTTTGTAAAACACTTTATCAATGATTCAACCTTTATCAACAATCAAAATACTACCTTATCCTCTTCGTGTTCACCAACGTACACTTTCACTGTATATTCGACTCCTAATGGTTTACCTAGGTCATCATCGCCGGGTTGCAATGTAACAGAACTGGGAGAGTTTTGCGGAAATTGAAACAAGAATGGGAACGCATGTTCCCCAAGCCGTTTTAGAAGACGTTCTTGAACCGGTGTCATATCTTGCTTCTCTTTTTTCATGGGAACTATTTGTTCCCGGCAGATGACAAGTTCTTTACTGAACTTGACACCCATAACTTCGTCCTCTTCACGGCCATAGCGGAAAGTTGTTGTTACCTAAGGAACATGTAAATAAATTATTGACGATCTTTCGTGTACGTGCTTTCCAAGATCTTATTTTTTACCTGTCCATAAACTTTTCGCCCTTGTAGATAATCATTTTCGACGACCACAATCCCATCGATAGGATCTATGCTATCCAAATGATCGATAAAGTCCCTTTTCCCAAGGTAAACCGTGACCTTCCCTGCAATCAAAGAACATTTATAATTTGACACGTAATTCTCTCAATATCGATGTCAAAACTGGAATGTTTCACCATATCATTTTATGACTTACCATTTGGAGTTGTCTTCTTAAAAACTTTGATGGCTACAACAAAAGCCAAAAATAGAAGGGGAAACATTTGGCAGGCTCCTTTCTCCAAAAAATGAATTAGCAGATGTTTGTTTCCCGCCCAGAAGTGACACTCTCTTAGCAAGACAGGGAACTTTATATAGTTTCGGTAAGGCTTCTTTACTTGAAGCCATATCACTAATAGCATTAGTTTATTACACAAGTTACTTAATGAGATTACAATACATATGTATGAATTTCGTTACGTGCATCGACGCGTATTTGATCCAGTAGCTCATGCATTTTCAACTGTGAAAGGTGACAAAATAGAATCCCTGCGTAAAACGTTTTTCACAATATTTTTTATTGTGCTTAGTTAAAGCACAAAGAGATCGGAGTAAGGGATGTACACGTGATCAGTCTTACAATTATATTTATTTCAATAATAATTGCTTACATAATATAATATGGAGGTATTTTAATCGAAAAAAATTCCTTGAATCCTTAACGTATCACGGAATATTTTCACAAAGTTCAGTTTAATAATTAACAACGAAATTTCTCTCGAATAGATGTTCGACAACTAAAATGGTCTCTTTTGTATCCTCGTTTCAACCACTTTTATCATATGCACTATTGTATGAACATCGTATCCTCAAATTGTTCTGGTAACTGAAATCTTTTGCGAACAAATAAGGCAACTCTTAATGCCCTTCCTAAAATTATATATAAATTCCTGATGGATGAAACAAAGTATTTCAAATATTAAATAGTTGTAAAGACGTAGCATGCCAATGTTCCTCCAACAATTATTTCTTGGTGCTTACTGTTTCTTTCATCTTTATACGAGTGTCGATGTGAATGCGACAACAGAAATATAAATGCAGCAAGCAAAAAGTACTTATTCGTCTTACTTGTTCGTAATATTATCGTCCGAGTTTGTTTTTACATATAAAAAGAGGCAATGTTGTTGATAAAAGGACGTATGATTTAAAAATAAACAATTGTCAACTAGAAATTTAGAAATCAATAACACTGGGTAATATCTAGAGTAGAATTATCCTGATAAATATGTCTAATGATAGGCACAATTAAAGTACAAGTATTATATATTCATTTTTTACCGCTTCGTTATGCTAAAGAAAATCGTTGCTACCAGGGAACAGAAATGTTTGCGAAATTTTATGAAATCTTTATTTCAAATACTCATTTTTGACAATATGTTCATACAATGCTACAGACTATACCTTATCTTGTCTTTACAAATTTCTATACTTGTATTTCGAACAGGATATTTTTACTAAAAAGAAAAATGGCGATACATATAGCAAAAATTCAACGAAACTTATTAATAATTATTACAATCAAATTTTAATTATTCATTTAGAGTTTACTCGAGTCGTCTGATCTCTAAAAGGAACGAAACCAGTTTATTTTCAAGGATTGTTATTTAGTTCTATACGTTCTTATACATGTATGTCATTTAAGAACACATTCACTTTAGACTGGGGAATGTTGCTTGCATTTGAGGATTACATACGAAATAAAACACACAAAAAAGAAAAAAAAAAAACATCTTTATCGTAATGATCCGAAGGAGACGTTCCAAATATATCGCACATGTTCCTTCTATAAACTTTACAAAAATAAGATAAAACTAAGGTTCAATGTAAACAACTTTCCCCGGTGTATGGTATTCGATAATCTCTCTTTGTATGCACAGTACTTTCTGTAAAGAACCTCGTTATACATAGATTTTAAATTTGCATTACAAGAGTATTCGCGTATAATTGAGCAGTCACCTAATACGTTGTTTATCGTTAAATTAACAAGGAATTACATATTATGAATTCTTTTTAACGTTTTTCGTTAAAATGTGCAAGAAATGAAAATTTATTTGATTTTAATTAATCACGTGATATTACAGAACCCTGTGCAAGTCAAACTCTTGACTCTAAGCATAGTTATGCACTGTGTGTAATTTCTACATGTATTTACGTTTGTACATAACTAGAATCTTGGTTCAGTTCCCTGATACCAGCGCATTTCTAACATCAGCCAGTACAAATATTGTTAGTTTCAGTAGTATACACTGTAGATTTTTGTAGTATGATTGTTGTTTACGGCAAATCTACTAAACTTACATCACTAATTTTTTTCTTTTTTTATCATTTTTACCAGACGCATTTTTTCATTGTAAATGATGTTATGAATTTTCTTAAGGATGTTCTTGAACGAGGTAATGCTGCATACCTCGACTTTTATTTCAAGCAAAATTTGTTTCACACAGTAGAAATCTATAATAGTGAAAGAAAATTCATTACGGAGCTCGTTACTCAAATGAAATTAGGAGTAAACGTAAAACTCGGTATTATTGTACATCTTACCTAATATTCTTCACAGAAACATATCCTTATAAATAAGAATTTCTTTTAGGATAGATCTGGAATAAAAAATGTTTTAATAACTTGTATCTTCAAAGGTGCATGATCAAATCAGATATCACTTACAGCTTGGCGCAGCTGCAGATTCAAATCTCTTTTGTATCTGGTCATAGGTGAATTTGACAAAAGCATCATACTGCTCAGAGAGCTTCATGTTTAGAATCTGATCATATTCTTCTCGAATCTGTGTTTCTTGTTCTTTAAGCATTCTCTCACAGATCAAACCCACCTACAAAATTTGTTTGATGGTATAGCAATTATCGCAAACAATGATCTCTTATGAACAATTGCAAGTTACTTGTCTGAATGTGAATAAAGGCTTCTCCTTTCCACTAGGACTATAACTACATGAATTTGAACCACATGCAGACGGACTTGAAGGACTTCCTTCCATGTCTGAAGAATCACCACCATTATTTTGAGGACTAAAATGCAATTGTTTGCGTCGATGCAGTCTCCGAATCTCTTCTTTTATATTGGCAGCCATTTTCTCTATAAAAGAAAGGGGCATTCCCATTCATTGAACTTACGAAAAATCAACATGTTTATATTACCATTCCACAAATCTTTTTCAAATTCATTTTCACGTTCATATATGTGTATAGCATTTACTATGATGCATAAATTAAGCGTACATCATAAATAGTATTTACAAAATTGATGATGATAGTTTTATTTAGAGCAAACAGAATATACACCATTATATCCAGAAGAGTAAATTGAAAAAATCGAGAAGCAAGTTCGAAAGGTCCACATTTTCATCATTTTTATTTAGGAATCGATTCATGAACGTATTGATGTAAAAAGCAAATAATCTGCAAAAGTGTGAGTATGTACTTGTAAGTAAAGATAAAAGGGGAGTCGATTCGTCCGTTACTATATTACCATATGATTTACGCATCTCTACCCCCCTCCCTACCCGAACGCCGCACCTTTCCGCCCCTTCTTAAACGGCACGAATAAAAGTTTTAAATCCCTAAAACAATTAAATCACCCCTTCCCCAAAAGAAATAAACGGAGGAAAAGGGGCAAAAAAAGAAGAAAAGAAGAAAAATGGCCGTAATTTGTAATTACCAGAAGTTAGTTTATGGGTTACTTCACCAAAGGGCGAAGGATTCTGTGGCCTGGAATTAGTTTGCGTAGATGTACCAGGGGAAACACACATCGGTACACATCTTCGTCGCTTGCTAGGGCGACCATGACTATGCACCGGGTCGAACTCCAAAGATCTCTTGAGAGTGGCGCAGGCCATTTCTCTTTATACCGTCCCGTTCACAGAAATGACACTCGGATTACACGCACGGAATTAACTCGCGAACTGTGATGATCGTGCCGAAAAATACAGCAAAACCACCGTGTACGCACACTGTCTGAACAGTTTCTTCGATCGCACTCTCGTTCCTCTGTCCTCCTTCGTGTCGATCTCCGTGGATTTGTTCGTTCTGAGCAGGCTGCACCAAAACAAACACTGCGCTGAAACAATATGGCTGGCAACCACAGGTCGTCGGCTAGGAACGATCACGAAACGAATCCGACCATCAAAGCACCATCTTTTCACTAAACTTGCATTCCGAAATATGTATACGTCGCAGACTCGATGGATTCGACTCGGAGTCTCTCCGTTTCTGATTGGTCAACAGAGTGCACGGTGGCGTCCCTTTGCATTTCCTTCTTCCGACTTTTGAAATTCAAGAATCAAATACTTGAGCCTGCTTCGGATCTCATCTTTATTCAAAAATGCAATCTCTAAACTGTACATATATGCATTTTTATTATATGTTGACTTTAAAGCAGTATGATGTGAATATACTATTATATAATATAATATTTGTGTTTTATTGCAAAACAAAAAACGATTAATAAAAGAAATATTATTATTCGGGAAGTTGTGCTAATGTATTCATGTACGCAAATTTCAATTGTATTCTAAAGAAAGAGTAAAATTTAAAAAGGTCAATGCTCATACAAGAAATATTCAACCTAAATCTGAAAACAAAAATACTTGTTGAAAACGCATGTTCTCACAGTTGTAGATAGGATCATGAATATTATATATAGTCATTTGGAAGTTAAAATTATTTGCTTCAACGCCCCAGTGAACCCGTTTCGAATACTTTTACATATGTTTCCAGGCATCGTGAATGATTAACGTAATTACTTTGTAAATATGCGTCAAGGATGGGAAATTGTACTGGGTTACGTATGTAATAATTCAGACTTTTATTTAAAAGCGATTTCGTAAAGCATGCGCACGACTTCCGTCTATGTCTACCCCTCTCTACTTCGCTTTGGGGGATTTTAAGCGGTGTCAAGAAGAATATTCCGCCATTCTATATTTACCATTTATATCGGATTCATACACGTTTTATCCATTTTCTCATAGCCCGTCCAAAAAAGCGAAGAATAATGACGACAGTAAGCCCTGTGGTGATTGCTGCTACGGCCAGACACACTGCGACAGTGAGCGAAAAAAATATATTTCGATATCTTTTTTTGGTTATACTTAACGCAAAGTGGTTTTTAATTAATCATAAGTCGATTAATCCTGAGACAATTTTTCTCATTGTATAAATGTTAAACACAATGTTCCTGTATTTTACCAGATTATTTTTATGTAAGATTTTTTATTTTTGTTTCAGCTTATATTTTTCCATGGATTGGGTGATACAGGGTAAATCATAGCTTATACAACAATAAAAGTACGATATAATTGTATAATGCTCATTTACTTTGCAGTCATGGCTGGGCTAGCTCAATGGGGACAGTAAGATCTCCTCATATTAAAGTTATATGCCCAACTGCGTATGTATGCACGAATAATGCATAAGCTAAATACATCAAGTCTCTCATTGACAAATCTTTTATTTATTTTAGACCTACAATGCCAGTGACATTGAATGCAGGTTTCAGAATGCCTTCTTGGTAAGTAAGTAATAAATATATCTACATGTCAAATCAGGGCGTTGATTCTTATTAGCAATGCATATAATATGTAAAGTTCACTTTTATTGATAACATACATTATGTACATCAATGAATTTAGGTTTGACTTACGGTCTTTGGAACCAAGTGGTCCTGAAGATGAAGAAGGCATTCGTAGAGCTGCAGAAATGGTACATTCTTTAATTGCAGAAGAAGTTGCAGCAGGAATACCCACCAAACGTATAGTTATTGCTGGTTTTAGTCAGGGTGGTGCACTTGCCATATACAGTGCTCTCACATTTCCAGAACCCTTAGCTGGAGTCATAGCTTTATCATCTTGGCTTCCCTTGCATCAGAAATTCCCTGCTGTATGTATATTGACTACTGCAATCTATGCAACAGTTTCATAATGCTAAAAAAATCGTAACGTTATATTTTTTATAGGAGGCAATAGGAAATAAAAATACTCCACTGCTACTGTGTCACGGTGATTGTGATCCAATAGTGCCATACAGATGGGGTCAATTGACTGCATCTGTTCTCAAACAATTTATGACACAAATAGAATTCAAAACTTACAGAGGAATGATGCATGCATCATGTGATGAGGTGAGACATTATTTGTGCGACATTCTATTTTGATATTCTAATTATCTGATGTATTAAATCGTTATACTAATTAAAAATGATGTACTTGATTGTGCTTGTTACTTTCACAGGAAATGCGTGACATGAAGAAATTCATCGAAAAATACTTGAAGCCGTAATAGTTTTACTAAATACACTAATGTTTTAAACATTAACATTATTACTCTCTTTATT